CTTCTGACACAAGACGCTTGTTGTGAAGAGATAACTCCCAGAATCTGGTTTTTACCCTGGTCCTGGAGGTGCTGTGTGAAATGCAGTAAGAGGAAAGTGGTGCTGCTTTTCACTAGTTTTGCTTCAGAGAACCTTCTGGTAGAATTTTGTGTATCTCCAGCTCAAGGTGGGTCAGCAGCCTGAGCTTTGCTGCTTGCATGATACCGTGGTCTTTCTGTCAAGCCTGCAGTGCTTTGTAGGAAGATGGTCATGGAGAAATGGTGTCCAGCAGACTGCCTTGCTAAACCAAAGGGATGCTGACAGGTAGAGTCCTACTGTGTCTTCTTTTAATCTACTTCTCTAGAAATAACATGTAAATATTTCTGGCTACCACTAATGTTGGGTTGACTTCACTGTTAAACAGGAGGTAACAGTTGTAGGACTGACCATGTGATGTGACACAGAGGTTCCCCAGAAGTTGATGGCCACCTCCTGCGATGCCAGTGAGAACTGAGTTAAACCAATACTGAGAGCTTTTGAAAACGCCACGATTTAAAATGGGTCATTGTGCTCCCAAGATTGTTGTCATAAATACAGCCTCAGAAGTTTGTGGAGCGTGCATGCCTGTCTTTTCTTCTGAAATTTGGAGACTGGAGCAGCAGGAGTGGGCTTGCTGTCTGGGCTTCAGCAAATACCAAGTAGCACTGATGGGTCAGTGCTTTTATTTTAATCTCCATCAGTGCGGGGAGTGTAGTATTAATAATTCTTTTCCAGATGCAGACCTTGCTGTTGCAAGCTACCCTGCTTCCTCCTGGAGAGCGCACTGCTGTTCTGCATGGGAGTTCTGCCTTATATCCTCCCAGAAAAGAAGCTAGAATGCAATACAGCAGTGTGACTCTTAGCTGTGACTCCATTCTCTGCTGAGATGATCTGAGATTTTTGTTTGAAAAAGTAATTTTACAGTCACTGACTGCGATGGTTACTGTGTAGGGGAAGAGGTAGGGAGGTTCTCTTTCACCTGATCTCAGTTCTGACCTCCTGGGGATTATTAAGGAGCCCAACTTGTGAGGTTGGCACATAGGCAAATTATAACAATGGTAAGGATGCCCTGCCTGGTAAACTCACCTTGCTGCTCACAGGGTGTCAGTGTGTTGTAAAATCAGTATGCTTGATTTCATGCAAGAATTAGCTGTGCTTAAGGTATGGCTCAGTCTCTTATATAATTACGTGTGTCCTCTTTTTTTTTTTTTTTAAGCTTAAAGCTCTACAGAAATTGTAAAGACTAGAAAAACCACAGGTTGATAGTGTTTTAGGTTGTAACTCTCCATGAGACTGCTTAAAGCAATATGCATTAAAAGCTATTTAAGAATGAAGTATTAAGTAAGTGACTCATGAGAGCACAGCCATTAAAATACATGCTGACCACCAGATGAGGCACCTGGGATACCAAAATGAAATACCCTTCCATTGGTAGGTTTTGTTTTATCAGTGTAGCCACATGAGGACTGAAGTTGCTTGCTGGATTTAGCTCCTGTTTGTGTGTAAGGATTGTTCAGGAGAGAGTGTATTCCATATGTCTGTTATGCTAAAGGTGGATCTAGAGGGGCAGATTCCTGCCCTGGGACAAGGGCCAGCCAGGTGGATGAGATATCAAGATGTACGGGATGTACACCTGCCAAGGCAAAAATTAATCCGTATATAATATTCCTCATCTGTTACAGGTGAGACTGTGATTGCTGCCAAGGTACAAAAATACCCATATCAGATGTCACTGATGCTGTTTATTCCCATCACATGTCCCAGGCTGTTTAGGACAGTGGGGCCAAGCCAGACACTGCCACTTCTGCTTCTTAGATTTTGTAATTTTCTTTTTCTGATGCTGAAGCTGAGCTGTGCATTGTTGTGCAGAGCTTTGCCCTCTGAGCACTGTTCAGCAATAGGGAATCTTTGATTAGTCATTAATTTGAAAAAGAGGAAAAAAAAGTAGGGCATCTTCTTAGCTGCACTTGTTAACTTTAACAAACCTCTGCTAAACACAAGCACTTTGGAAAGATGATCCCAAGAAAACACAGCTTTTGCATCTTTAACAGAAATGAAGACACAGATTTGCTTGAGTGGAGGAAGAGCTATAGTTTATCTTCAGTAATGACAGAGGGGAGCAAAAAACACAGCATGTGAAGGAACCCGTGGTAAAAGATATTTCAAGATGAAAATAAAATTGCAGAAGAAAAGAAAGAAGGGAGGGAAATGTGTTTTTTATGAGACACATCCATTCGGGAGACATGTGCTGTCAGGGGAGCTATTGCTAGCAGTGAAACACTGAAGTCTCTCAAAACTCTGTAAATCTAACACTAAGTTATCACACTAAAGCAAGGGAACTCTCTTTGGGCCTCATTATGTCCGGTAATTGCTGCCTCGCAGACCTGGATGGCTGAATTAATCACTGGTGGTGGACATGGGGCCAGTGACCATGATGGGATTTCATTCTCATGAGCTAGCAGATAAGAGTCCTAATCATAAATATATATAAGACATTCCTGTGATTTCAAAGGAACTGATTTCCCAAGGCTGAGGAAAACTGAGTGAAGTTGATTGGGTGTTAAAACATTCACAGGAAAATGTGGGTAAGAACCGGGAGCTCTTTGGGCAGAGGCTAAGAAAGTTGATATTTCAGAGTCAAGAACGAGGACAAGATTTAGCAAATAACCATCCTAGCTTGGTAGTAATGAAAGCAGCAGCTGGAAGCAATAATAAGATTAACAAATTCAGAAAAAAGTAAGTTGCAATCCATGTGCATCTGGAGTTATGGTGTGTAGACAACAAGCTAAAGACATCTGAAGAGAAATCACCGGTCAAGTACAGCTCAAGTACAGAATTAAGGGACTCTAGAAACATATTAGCAAAGAGGAATATGATTATGAGCCAAACAGTGAAATAACCGTATGGAAATCGTCATTCATAATGACTTAGAAGACACTAACTTGTCAGTAAACAATACTAAGCTGCATTTGGAAAAGAAACAGTATGATGGGCTACTACTGTCCTGTGACCAAGAAACCACAGAGGGTGTTAAAACAGTGCCTGTGAGGCTCAGACTCCAAATCAGCAGGCTTGGTAGCTTTTATCTGATAGCTCAAAGCAAGTTTGCTTAGGTGCTCTCTGACATTTAACTCTCAGCTTTTTGTAAGGCAGGATACATGGTATTCAGTGTGATGTCCTCTGCTTAAACTGGAAAGTAAGTGTTGTAAATTCTCTAATGTACCTCACATACAGGTGAGGAAGTGATGGACTAGCGCATACCAAGAAGTCAATGCTGGCAGGAAGTCACTGCTCCATGAAGTGTTTCTAGTGAGATCATTGTCACCAGCAACCTGAAGGTGAACATGCTCTTAAAATTAGCAAGGTGACACAGAGACTGATGCAGCTTCAAGCATCAGCAGGAAGAAAGAAGCTAGAGATGGTAATCTGAGTGGCTTGGCACACTGGCTCTTTTAAAACAAAATGAAGCTTCACCACAGAGAGCGGTGCTGTGAAGGAGCAGGAAATTCCTCCTAGTTAGGGAGCAGGGGACTATGTGTGGCAGAGAGGGGACTTGGTAGGAGCTGCAGTAGAAACACAGTAAGACAGATTTTCTTTGTGAAGCCCAGTGCCCGGATGTGACTCTTGGGGGTTAAAAGGCTGGGAATGGGTGGCAGTAGGGATTTTGCCTCTGTATTTGCCTCTGTACACAAGAGACAATGGAATAGCGCCTGGTTTTTGTGTTCTTAGCTTAAGTAGGATATTGCAAAATGGGATAGCCACAGATATGATCCCCAAGCTGGAGAAAATGCTACAGCAAGCAATGGAAAAAAGCTTGATCTGTTTAGCTTATCAACAAAAAAAAAAAAAGAAAAAAAAGAAAAAAAAAAAAGATTGAGGGATAACTTGATTACAGTGTGTAAGTACTTGCATGGGAGAAAATACCAGTTGCTGAAGGGCTTTTTAATCTAGAGGAGAAAACAAGAATAAGAAACAATGGCTGGACAGTGAAACCAGATATTCCACTTCAGAGCAGGCAGACATTTTTAACAATGAGGGTGATTAACCACTGGGAGAAGATCCCAAGGGGGCTGATAGCTCGTTCATTGCTTGATGTCCATACACCAGGCGGGAGTGCCTCTCTGGAGGACATGCTTTACTCATGGACATGGAATTGGATTTGATTCATGGATAACTGGATTGAATGTGCTACCCAGTGCCTTACGGTTTATGGCTCCTTTGGGCCTTTGAAACTCTTAACTGCATCTGGGAACGATTTGACAGTACTCTGGGGCTTTCCAGCTGGGGATCCTGATGGACTTGTGAGGCGATGGCCTGCCCTACAGAAGGGGATTGGGCTGAGTGACTCATCACATGTTAACCCCCAAGCAAATGAAACATGGTCTTAATGAACCACCTAGAGCTCCCAGAGATGTAGGACAGGTACAAGAAGTGCAGGTAAGGGCTTCCCAGCTATTCTTAGCTTTTGGAAAGACCTCCTGGGGCTGCAAAGACCTGGGTGCAAGGGCAGGTGAAGTCACACTGATTTATGGTGGGAACAATATGAGGAGAAAGGTCAACTTAATCCCTCTGCATAGTCGAAGCAGAACAAGAATAGGTTGCAAGCCTCTACCCTTTTCTTCAGACTCCACTGCCTCTCACATATCACTGAGATCTGAACCTCAGCAGTTCCCCAAAACACTTGTTTCTCTGCCTGTTCAGAACGTACTTGCAGCCAGAGAGAGAATCAGCAAGTGGAAACCCACCTCCAGACTTCATGTGTTCAAGACCCTCTCAGGAGAGCTATTCCCATCCTGTAGCACTGTTACCCTTGCCCTCCTGCTGTAACCCAGTGCATCTTTTCAGACAACTGGGAGCAGTGAGCAAACGGTTAAAGTTTTGCTTCTCCACCCAGTGGTGGGTGTTGTCTGTGTCAGAAACAATATAAGAACAGTCGGAAGTTGCAGCTGGCAAGTAACATTTGGATTAGCAGTCGTGGGGCATATAGATCTGGTGTGGACTGTCTTTTCCTGAGACTGTAAACACTTGTGCAGAATGTCCGAGAACAAGAAAAAAGGGAAAGGAAAGAGCAAAAAGAACAAAGAAGGGAAAAAAGGGGAAAGAGAACCTGACCCAGGAAAAGGTACTTCCCATTTTATAACAAATTTTACTTAAAGGAAGAAGAGAGAAGCCAGAAAGCCAGCAGGAAAGTACTTGTGGGTTGCATGAGGGTGCAAATGATAGGAAGCATTTGCCACACAAGTGTGCAAATCTCTGCATCTCATTCATATTTCATGCTGTTATAGGTATGCTTTCTTCTTGATTTTTTTTTTCAATACCCAAAGCCCCAAGAATTCAGGGCAATGTACTTTTACAAAAAACAGCAGCACTCGGTTCCTGTCACAGTGATATGGTAATTGAGGGGGTTTGTGCTAATTCTGTGGGGGTTCTGGTGTGTCATGTTTTGCTGTTTGGTTCATTGTTTTCTTGCTTCTTCCTGAGGTAAATATCAAAAGCCACTATTTTGGAGGATCACAGGGACTGTTAATTGGGACAGACCAACTCAGAGATCAGGTTTAAGTTACAGCCTCACTTTCTGGGGTGACTGCATTGAGCTGTAGTTAAAGGCATGTGGGCTGTAAACCTTCACTCTTTAATGATCTGATTCGTGAAATCAGGCTGTTCCTTAGAGGACATCTAACTGCTCCTTGCTGAATGAACAAGAAAATATTTAAGATGTTGCCATGATAAAATATTTAGATTGCCTTTAACTGGTAAAGTTCAGTTCCTGAGTAAATGGGGACTACAAACTGGGGCAATGTGAGAACTGTCTTAGATACAGAAGGTTTGGTGGCAATGCAGCACAGTGGTATTTCTTTCTCTTGTCATGGTATCAGGGAGGGATTATCCCTGGCTGTTTCTTATCTGTGGTTTATCTGGCAATGTATTTGGACAAAGCAGCAACCCTGTCAGACTTTGTGTTTTATCAGTGTTAAGAGAGGCTACAGGCTGGACTGGGTCCTGGAGGAGACTGTCACTTCAGCTCTTGCATGGATGCAATTCTGCTCTTGGTCCTGCTGCCATGATGCTAGTGAGTGCTCTTGACCTGAACAGAATTGCTTTGGCTTCACACCGGCATCACTGGTGGCATGATTTGCCCCTACTCTTTTTCATGCCTTTACCCTGAGCACAGAGACCCACCACCCTGCTGTGCCCAGGGCATGGGCTCCTCCACTGCCTCTGCCCCAGAGCTGCCGGGTTGGCAGAGGGTGCCTCCTGCATGGTCTCCTGCCAAGGACATCAGAACGTAGCTGGTGCTGGCAGTTCTGGGAGGAGACTTTTGCGATAGCTTCAGGACAGGGAGCTTGAAAACACCAAGCAGAGTCAGCAGCTGCTTGAAGATGACAGGATCTGCCCAAGAGGTTCTGGAGTGTGCAGGGGCTGGGGGCTGTCTTGCAGCCATGGGAAGGACGACCCTGCCTCCTAAGTGCATAGCAGGGACAGGGCAGTGCTTACATCCTGAGCATCACCTTCACTGGGAGCAGCATGGAAGGGTTGGGGGGACTGAGAGGCACTGGCTTGGGCACAGCGGTGGAATGAGGCACGCTGGGACTGCAGAGGGAGCAACCACCTGCCTCGAGGCACTGGGCCATGGGGGCTGCATGTGGGGAAGAGAACTACTTTACCTGTAGTTACTCGTGCTGATAACCTAGTCCTCTGCTGAGATGCACTGTAAAGGTGTTTTATCTCAAGTAAGTCCCACAATGTACAAACCTCCTTTCTCTGTACTAATGGATCCACAGCAGAATTGAGGGTGACTGCATTGATCCCACCTGTATCTCAGCCAAAGAAAAGAAAGGTTCTGGGTTTGGCTTGCACAACATGAACACAGTCTGTATTCATTACTAACCATATTTCTTAGATCCAGGCCACTCCTTTGCCTTGTATTGCCACAGAGGTTGCCCATTGTTTGCTCTATGGGTCCATCAGAGGAAGACACTTGGTTGTCTGTGGTGTCTCCGAACCAAATCCCATTTTGGCTTGGGTTGGGATTGGTGAAACCCACAAACACATTTCCCATCACAGGTCACCTTTGCCATGAGGTCTCAGAGGCACCACAGCAAAGCTTCACCAAAAGAACCTTTAGAAGAGAAGAGTTCCTCCCCCAATCACTTCTGAGCAGATGCTCTAGTCCTGGTACATAGACCCTCACTCAGGCAGCAGATTATCCTGTGGAATCTATTTCTTCAGCTTGTGGCTGGACCTCAGACTGCCTCTCCAGCATGCTCGGGCTGATGCAGGAACCCAGCCCTGGCACAAATCAGGCAACTGGCCGGACACTTCAGGAGGAATTTGTGTTCTACGTTTTTTTCCCAGGTTGTAGTATTTCCATGCAAATAGGGTGAGCTGACCCCTCTGAAACCAGGGGGCAGAAGAGGAACCTACAGAAGTCTTACACAGTCTTTAAGGAGATCCAGATAGGAACATTTGTTTGATTGCCAGTGCAAGGGAAACTCAGGGGATGGTAACAGGGTGGAAAGCCTTCCTTCGTCACACTGTATCCCTGACCAGTTGCTGGCTGCTGAGGGCCAAACTTTGTTACCTATGATCTACCCTTGTGTTCTAAGGTGTCTGCATTGGAAAGTACCCTTAGACACTCCTTCATGGAGTGCTCTGTAGAGAGCCAAAGGACATCTCTGGCATGGAAAAACACTCCAACTCCCAGGGGTGATCTCCCTAGCCCTGCCAGCTGGTCTGGGGGGATTGCCCCATGTAGTAAAGCCATTTACTGCCAGTGAATCAGAGTAGCAGAAAAACTTCTTAGAGGAGGAGAGCTTTAACAGCTGTTTCTGGAAAGAACATCAATGCGCCATGGTGGGTGCTAGATTTCCCCTGAGGTCTCTCAAACTTGGGAGGAAAGGATTCTTCCACAATGGCTTTTAACACAGTTGGTTTGGCTTATTTGAATGTGTAAAAGAGGATCGGTGATCGCATGTGAATTACTTGCTTTGTTCTGAGGACAAGGGCTATCTTCAACCTAAATGCATTATTTTTATGCCTCTAGTGATGCATCTGTCCTCAAGTGAGTGCTTCAGATACAGATCTAGCCAGTGGAACAGCCCATGAAGGCCTCCAGAGGGAGATGGTGTCCAGCTATGAAGAAGCACCATCAAAGTCCCTCATTTAGGTGTTTGTATCATGCATTGAAAGACAGACAGACTGTGTCCCACCCAACACACGTGTAAGGCACACCCTGCAGGGACTACGTGCACTGCAGAATGTAGCAACAGACCAGCAGATAAATGTATAATGCTCCCACAATGCTGGCAAATTGCAGGTTTGGAAGAAAACTTCCTCACTGCAGGAGAAGATGGTACTTTGTCGGACACTGGACGGCTTGGGGCAATCAAAGACTTGACACTGAGGCAAGACCATGGGTGTGAAAGAAGGTGCCCTTTTGCACTCTGATAGATTTGGGGTAGGCTTTGGAGAAATGGGACAAAGGGACCAGTGCCAGTGCAAATGTTCAGAGAAGAACACGGTGAGCAAATGCTAGAGCTGTTGTGGTAGATTAGGAGGCACCAGCCTCACAAAGAGATAGGCAGGAGAAGCAAACGGGCTGGAGGAAGCCTTGATAGTGGGGTAGGTGAGGGGCAAGTTGGAAAGGGAAGGTCTATGAGACTGGAAACAGTCTGTGTTTCATCTGTACTTACATGAGGTCGCTTGGGGAGACAAGACTGGAGAAATGTAAAGCATTTGGTTGGTTAAATTCCCCAGCAATTCCAGGCATTCTCTCTTATTTTTACTTGGCGGTGAGGAAAACATTGTGTGTGCTTAAGGTTTTTGTTGTTCCTCAGTGGTAATAAGGCTGGCAACACAGGATTTGTGCCTTTCTCTTGAACTGCCCCTGGCAAATGCTAATGCTGGAAAACTACTCTGAGAGCAGGTGAAGAGTCTCTGCAGAGTATCTCATGTTTCAGTAGGAATCAGCTTGACCTCAGTTCCCAGATGAGTCAGGATTTGGTAGCAAAGTTGTGTAGAGGGTGTTGCAATTGAAACTCCAGAGGTCTTAAGGAGGAAGGTGCCCCTGGGTGTGAGCCAGTGGTGGGATTGCAGCAGAAGCAGGTGTACATTTGTCAGGTCCACCAGTCTGGGGTGCTTTAGAATGCTGTGTTAAGAGTTTGGTGAGGGATGTGAAAGTCCCTTGCTAGGTGCAGGCTTTGTGGTGGAAGCTCATGCTATCAGAGGTAGTCAACAGTAGAGCAACCAAAAGAGCTACTTCGCTGCTGGCTAGGGTACCTCTGTGTGAGCTATTTGCAGGGTGAACATGCTCTTGATTTGTTCTTAGTCTTCTGATTGTAGGAAAGACTCCAGTTCTAACGAGCTCATAGAAACATTAGCCAAAATATTTGTTTACAAGGGTATCCTACAGTAGCAGTTTTGGGTTTTGTGGACACCCATGCACACAAGGTACCAGACATCAGCTGTGCTCCAAGATCTGGCCACATGCATGTTTTCGCTGGATCATTTCCACTGGCTAGACCAATGGACTGCTGCTGCCATTGCCATGTAGCTGAGAGCATGCATGTGGCCAGTTACCACGGATCAGTGAACGTGCAGTAACTTGCTCGGCTTTCAGAATGGAGGGGGTCTGACTCACAAGCTCCAGTGATTCATGCTGGGGTAAAGGAAGAGGTTATGTGTCCCAGCTGCTTTCTGGTCTTTTTGCTGGAGCTTGCTCGCTCTACAGAAGGAGGAATTGATAAATGAGCATGCAGTTCTGTTCTTCCACTGGCTGTGGCTCATAGTCTCAGGTGTCAATACAAACAGAAGGGTTATGGGAGAGAGACACAGCAGGGTTGAGGAATAACCTGTCTCTCCATACAGGCAGACTCTGGGGCTAGGAACTCCTGGCAGAGGGGCAAGATGGTTTAGAATGGTACATTAGTAAGTAAACCCACCATGGATCCAAAAGCTGGTGAGTCAGAGCCCTGGGTATTTTCCATCCCTTTTTGGAGATGGGTGTAAGTAACCTGGGAAGGGCAGTCTCTGGTGAGAGGAGGAACATCTGGAGAGGGGTTGAGCACAGCCTGGCTGCCAAGCTCCGAGGTCATGCCCTTACCTCATTCTTCTGCCTTTGTT